GACCTATTAGGTGACCTCCCACTGACCTAGTATCTTAGGACAACAACGTTAACAAGACTTCTTTTCGTAATGTGTAAATTAATAAAGTAAATACATTCTTCTTTGTCACATATTGCTACCTGCAGTAACGATAAAATTGCTACTTATATAAAGGTAAGTCCTCGGGAAGGTAATATCTTGACGCAACAGAGTATTCATGTGGTTATCATGAGAGAGAAACAGACCTACACCCCCCCCCTTGTACTGTGTATTATTTCCCGCTCACAACGTTTCTCCCTCAACGCCCTAATCCTCAGCATCTAAGGTTCAGTTTATCAACAACAAAAATGCCTAAAATATTATCAAGAGAGCATAATATAGGTCCGGTAAAATTCGTGGAGGTAAAATTCGCCAAAGTTAAGACGGCTGGTGCACAATTCACGCCCGCTTTATCCCGGCACAATGAAAATTCCCCAAAGTTGAATCCAATTACTTTGTTTTATTGCACGTCCGGCGAGGGCTCTGGGGGAAGTTTTAAAACTTTTCCCCCCTTCCCCTCACATTTCTTCAGAGTTAAGAACTAAAGACAATCAATTTAAAGTTGGTTAACAAACAGCAAGTGTTGCCTGGGGCGCGTGTTACAGCTGTTTGCTGATGCTAGGGCTAACACAACGCCTTCTGCTGGAGGTCTGGACGAGAACCACCGTCTGCTAGAACTGTATCTAAGACGACACTTTCTGCTAGCACTGTACCTAAGACGACACTTTATGCTAGAACTGTATCTAAGACGACACTTTCTGCTAGCACTGTACCTAAGACGACACTTTATGCTAGAACTGTATCTAAGACGACACTTTCTGCTAGAACTGTACCTAAGACGACACTTTATGCTAGAACTGTACCTAAGACGACACTTTATGCTAGAACTGTATCTAAGACGACACTTTATGCTAGAACTGTACCTAAGACGACACTTTCTGCTAGAACTGTATCTAAGACGACACTTTCTGCTAGAACTGTACCTAAAACGACACTTTCTGCTGGAACTGTATCTAAGACGACACTTTCTGCTAGAACTGTACCTAAGACGACACTTTCTGCTAGAACTGTACCTAAGACGACACTTTCTGCTAGAACTGTACCTAAGACGACACTTTCTGCTGGAGTTAAAACTATGAGTAGACAATTTCATGGAAATATAAATATGAAAATTTTCCGTTGAAACAAACTATGCCGACTGTCTTATGAGGTGGAGACGTTGTGTGTTTTTACGAGACTTTCTTAAGCATATACCATTTTTATTACAATCTCCTGTTAAGCGCTCCAGTAATTATTTGTCAAAAGACAAATTAAGCGTATGAGTTGGCCCGTCCCACTTCACAGGACCAACCAACAAAGAAACACGACAGAGGCGGTACCAAACAACATTCACTCCTGTACAAACACTTGACAACTTCTAATCAATTGCAAAGTCTCATAATTCGACCCCAGACCATCACACGATATATAATAGTCCTGTTAACGCATCAAAGAGTTCTTAACTTGGCTTCACCCCCATAAGAATCCTCATAAAGACGGATTCCAGAACGGCGATAAACTACGATAACTTGACCCTGAAAATCACCTACGGGATATGGCGAGGCTCTCTCTCCTGGCTTCACGCGTAATTGCTTAATTCCTTGCCGCTGAAGGTCTCGTCATTAACATAAGTTTTAATTTGGCTAAGAGCTAAAGACTCGAAGATACCGCCCGGGGTCGTGATGGCAGGGAAATGATGGTGAAAATGGTGAAGTGGATGGTGTTGGTGAAGTGAAAGTTGAAGTGAATGGTAGTGGTGATGGTGAATTGAAAGTTGAAGTGAATGGTGACAGTGAGTTGGGAGTGGTAGATGGTGTGGCAGTGCTGATGGTGTGGTAGTAGTAGTTGATGGTGTCATAATGGTTGCTGATGGTGTGGTAATGGTTGCTGATGGTATGGTAATGATAGCTAATGGTGTAATAATGGTAATTAATGGTGTAATAATGGTAAATGATGTGATAATTGTAGCAAATGGTGTTTTATGGTAGCTAACGGTGTAATAATGGCAATTAATGGTGCGATAATGGTAGCTAATGGTGTATTATGGTAGCTAATGGTGTATTATGGTAGCTAATGGTGTAAAAATGGTAGTTAATGGTGTATTAATGGTAGCTAACGGGTGTTTAGGATAAAGACACCGAGAGAAGAAACAGAAGATGAAGAAGAATAAAGCAAAGTTAGTGATGATGTGATGGAGGAGAGATGATGATAATAATAATAATAATAATAATAATAATAATAATAATAATAATAATAATAATAATAATAATAATAATAATAATAATAATAATAATAATAATAATAAAGGAATAGTTAGCTAAGTAAATGAAAGGTGTGGGATAGGGAAATTAATGAGAGAAACATAATATAGGAGGGAATAGCGTAAAAAGGCCAATATAAAGAAAGAGGAAGGAGAGTGAATCTTGGCCAGCAAGGAATCAAATGTGAATGAGAGAGAGAGAGAGAGAGAGAGAGAGAGAGAGAGAGAGAGAGAGAGAGAGAGAGAGAGAGAGAGAGAGAGAGAGAGAGAGAGGGGAGAGAGTCGGGAGAGGGTAGTGCCATTAGCGTCGTCTCTTAGCGGAGGGGAAGGAAAGTTTCCGGGTCATTAGTTCCAGGGCTCACCACGCTCCATCGCACACCCGGAGCCCCTTCCTTCTGACCGCCACTCCTCCCTTCTAGATCTGCGGGTCAACTTTCCGGGCCTGCAGGTCAACCTTCCAGGCTTGCACGTTAGTATTCCAAAAATGCAGACTCAAATACTATATTGCAAGTCAGCCTTTCCAACTGGCTGAAAAGATTGCAACACAGTCACCAATATTCGATGGTTGGGATCGCTGGTACGGAAACTCTATCCCTTTATGTTTGTTTCCTATCAGTCTATATGGAGCACTATGTATGTATACAATATTGTGAATTAGTGAGACAGGTTTCTATAAAATAAAATACAGTAGAACAGCACAGTAAAAAAAAAAAAATAATGCTGCTCTTCTTCGACGAAATCAAGTCTGATGTCTACCAATCCAGGATCCTGTAGTGTTGGTATGGTGGGCCAACGTACCCAGCAGGTACAGGGCGCCCTCCCCCACATCACCCACCACCAACTCCTCTCAAACCACACAACTGCCAGAGTCCTTCCAGGTCCTGTAGATAAATCCTTCCAGTTCATTTCCTAAACCCAACGAGTCATCATTCCAGTCTAGATCGCAGTCTCCAGACCTCCATCTTTATTGGTTCCCGAGTCTCGTCCATTCGCCTTCTTACTGGCGGTAAACATTGCGAACTGGCCAGTCTCGGGTTACCTTCGCTCACCCTTGTCTCTCTTTATTCATGTCTCGATATAATAAATTTATATTATCAACAAAAACTGTTTGATTCTAGTGGAAGTTAAACTGATAACCTTTAAATAAGGAATACGTAGATATGAAGAGTTAAAAAATAGTGAATCGCGTCAGCAAGAAATTAACCAGTCACCATCTAGGTGACAAGAAATAAACCGGTATGTACACACTGCAGACGAGCACCTCAGACGAGCGCCACTGACCAGAATCAAGACAAGATGGTGGATTATGCAGCTCAATCATCGTTGTCTTTTCTTGTGCCGACACCAAGGAACTTGCACAAAGCCCGAAGAATCCCTGGCGCAGCTATTGATGCCAAAGTGTTACGGCGTAATCTTCGCTCGACCAGAAATCATCAATAGCAATTAGTTCTGATCTGCTGGGTGACCATCAACGGCGACCCCTGACGCCTCTCCTCGCTGGACATTCGCACTTCCCAGAATATTACGTTCTGATAATCGAAATGACGGGATGCGGGAGATGAACGATGCTGGTGAGGCTTGTGGCCGATACTCACAGGATTTCGACAGGCACTAAGAGCCCAACAATGCCAACGTAATAACAAAAGCACACGGCACTGCGGACAACATTATCTCAAGGGACCTTTTGTTTGTTGGTCCGGGCTTCCACTCCCGGAATTGGCTAAGAGTAAACACTTAGTAAGGGCCCTCGACCGGACCTTCAAGTGCATACCAACTCTTTAATACTCCATTATTGCTCCGTTTATCATCTTTGGATATTGGATACGTTTCCTTATTTTCTTAAGATATCTCTAGACAGAAAATAAAGACACTACAACATAGGTTTCAACACAGATCATTAACATCCATAAATCATGACGCCACCAGACACAAGAGCGTGCACTTCCTGTTCGTCCTCAGCTTCACAATATAAAATCAATACATTTTCTTTAACCATTTTGTGATCGTTCAGCGCCAAGGTCCTCTGCTTCATGTCACAAGGAGGATCACATCACGTTAATGTTGTGTCATGTCGAGGCGGGTCTTTAGTTTAATGCTCCGTCACTATAAAACCAAAATACTCCTGCATAGTTACGTAGAATATCGCATAATTTCTTGTTCTTTTAAAAACTTACGGTTTCAAGTGGCATTTTTGCAGACCTCAGGGACTTAGGCAAAAGTTACCTAGTTGGACCAAGGACGTAGGTGGAGGAAATAGAACCCTCCTCCTCCCTCCATGATTTTCTCTCACTTTCTAGTGATTTGGTTCTTCATGATGGTACTTCTGCGTGCTATTAACATATAGTTCCTTGGCTCTAGTTAGCAACAGTGTGCTTTTCTATTAATTGATGTAAACACAAAGATCTTTGAAGCAAAACTCAACATCGTGGCTCTTTCAATTTCAATCAACAACATAATACTAATAAATAAATCATAAAAAAAATGTGAAGTCCTAACCTTCAAAGACCACATTATCTTTTACACTCATTGGAAAATATATAAACATGGATTAAAGTGTCATTCCCAAATACATATATATCATGAGGGGTAAATTTTAAAGAAACAAAATATTATGTCTCTTGTTATAAGGTTATGAAGGTTAGGACTCAGGAGGTAAGGAAAACATAATGGCTCAGGTACTCACCAGTTGTTGACTTGTAGGATAGTTAAGCCCGTGTCCTGTGCCAGCTGTTTCTTCTGGTCCTCGGAGGGGTACGGATGCTGATGGGGGAAAGCAATGGGTTAGTATTTATCCTCACATGTTGGACTCTAATGAAGGAACATATATTACTAATATTACACTATGCTCATTTTGTATTAATAAGACTCTAACTCCTATTGGTATACTGTTAATGAATACACTGATTGAGTACCATTACTGCTACTAGTTTGTATCACTATTCATAATAATAATAATAATAATGTGAGAAATGTTTAAATCAAGGAAGTGAGAAAGTGATAAACAATACAGTCAACTTAAGGGTATTCCCCCACTGTGTGTTCCGCCAGCCACACCAAAATCTCACCTAAACATTCAAAAGTTGACCAGAATGTATCTGCTGTCAGTCTGCTATGTGGTTAACTTGTTACTAATACTAGGTATTGGTCAGCTACAGTGTGACAGGTGATAAAAAATGTGAACTCTTACTCATAGCCTTCAAATTCCATGTGTTTAGTATGTGGTTTCCGTCAAGTACAGACAGTACAGTATGTTGTCCGTACACACAATACAAAATTCTTGAACAAAATTTAAGTTGAAGGAACATGAGTACAGTGAAAGAGACAAGATAGTACAGTAATGTGGAAGCTTAACCTGTTTAACTGTGCAATGACGAGAACGATGACCCTGAGTGTCAACATAGTTTAGCTGTTTTAAGTCATCTTAAAGGCGAATATATTCCTATCCAGTAGTCATAGGGAGGATCTTTATGCTGTACACTAATTTATATGTAGAATACTGTATATAATACATTCTGTCTGCATATTCCTTATGCATTTCCACAGTTTAGAAGATAGAGTTGAAATTTGGTAGGGAGGTGCGGGTGGTTTATGGAATGATTGTTTACTCTCTCCTGCCCTTTCCAGCAGGTGAAGCCGAGATCTCACCAAGTTCTATGTAAACTAGAATACAGTAACTCTTCACCCCTTCACTACAGGACATCACTTTTAATATTTTATTTAGCTAACGTCAGGAGAATTTATTATGCTCAGAAACTCCCTGGGTACCCAAGGGGTCAGAGTCACACTGCAGGTCTTCTGTACGAAAGTTATCAAGACTCAAATATATTATACAAATTGTTGGTAGAAATATAACATCCTGTCAGTGTTACAGTCAAACTACCGCAGAAGTAACCAACAACAAATACAAACATTTTCCCAGCGCCTCCACCACACCCTTCCCCCCTCCCACGAGCCTCCCTCCCTCCCAAGTTTTGTTAAACATTTTGGCTCTTTCACCGACACATATGTCGCCGATGTTCATTTTAAAAAGAGAGTTTTTCAAGCCATACATCCATTGAGTCGGCTGGGTCGGGGGATGATACTGTGTTATAACGTGTTTAGTCGGCTCCCAGATCCAGATAGTAGCGTTCACCCGGGCGTAGGGGCCAGCCACCCTCACCACACACCCTCTACTTCTATGGCTCATGTTTTTTATATCATTAGAGGCTCATATGTCCATTGTGTATATCCAACTCATATGTGTGTAATTAATCCACTGGAAGTCTCACACAAGGAGCATAAGACTCAATTCGTCCGTCTACACTGATGTGAAAAACAACAAATCGTAGGGAAAAACACATACCCGCATCCTCTCCTCCTCCACATCGCCGAAATTGTGTGCGTGTGTCCGTGTATGTGCGTGTATGTGCATGTACGTATATCAGCGTCCTCCCCCAGCGCAACAATCAGTAAAGGGCGACCCTCCCCAGATTATTTCGGACGAGACGAGAAAAGAGGCTGAGGACTCCGCCACGTCACCTCCCGCCCTACTGATCGAATTTATTTGATAGTGAACGCACACATGTTGGATTTTTGCAGCGAGGGGACGGATGACACCACATACACACACAAACACGGAAGTTTTCCATTTAGAATAACAGCTAATAATCTCATAAGCATTTCCTAAACTTACTTAAATTTATAACGGAAGGGAAGCTTTTGAAATTGAGTAAAACTAATACACTGTCTTTTGAAGTGATGCTCCTAGAGAAATAAATTAATTCTTCTACGACCTTAACAAGCTGTACAACAGTATCAAGGTATAACCCAAGAAGACCGGACAACTCGCCAACTGCACTGGCTCACCATTACCCCCCCCAACAGAATTCATCATTCAGTATGACGCATCTCCCCCAGCATGACGTATCTCCCCTTAGCATGACGTATCTCCCCTTAGCATGACGTATCTCCCCTTAGCATGACGTATCTCCCCTTAGCATGACGTATCTCCCCTCAGCATAACGTATCTCCCCCAGCATGACGTATCTCCCCTTAGCATGACGTATCTCCCCCAGCATGACGTATCTCCCCTTAGCATGACGTATCTCCCCTTAGCATGACGTATCTCCCCTTAGCATGACGTATCTCCCCTCAGCATAACGTATCTCCCCCAGAATGACGTATCTCCCTCTCAGCACGACTTATCTCCCCCTCAGCAGGACGTATCTCTCCCTCTCAGCATAACGTATCTCTCCCTCAGCGTTATGGAGGTGACAACAAGTACTCTCGGTGTTGGTGGCAGGACAATGTAAATAATACGAGTCGTGAATAATGTAAACGACACAATGTAAATACTAATGGATATTTCCTCATTCTCACACGGATATTCCCTGATATTCTCGCATGGATGAACCCAACTTTTTTTTTTTTTTTTAGCTTTTCTTTCGCGTTTATTCACACGTGCGTATAATTAAATCTCCTTTTGGTGTTTGTAATAGTAAAAAAAATATATATATTTACTTAACACACACACACACCTATATCTACTCAGATACGTAAACAAATAATTAAAAAAAAAATTACTTACTGTCAGATTAGTAAATAAAAGTTTCAGTAACGTTCACAAACGCCAAAATAACTTCCCAGGATGCAGCCGGAACTGTTCTTTGTATAAGTGGCGTATTGAGGTGCAAATCTGGCACTTAGAGCGACAATGATAGGTGGACAGAACGAGGCTGACGCGCACAATCAAATAATACTCACACAATGGCACAAAAGAAGACAACAATTCAAATGCAGATATCGAGGAAAACAATACCCCAGGGGATGGTTGTCTGTCTGTCCGTCTGTGTGTCTGTCTTTCTGTCTACTATTTGTCGATCAGTTGGTGTTTACTTGCGTTTCTTTTGATCAGTGTGTGTGTGTGTGTGTGTGTGTGTGTGTGTGTGTGTGTGTTTAGCCGTGTTATCCTCTGGGCGTGTTGTGGGGCTGTCTTTAATTCCTACAAAATCATAACATTTCATTCATCAGTGTTGTATGAACTGTGTCCACGTGTCAGCTGTGTCCTGATTTATTTGGCCGTTTGTTTTAGTAAAGGTTCTGTACAATGTGTTGGTCTCTTAAGAAGTTCTTTTCTGTACCTAAAATATGAAGTTAAATTGCTGAATAACTTACACACACACACACACACATATATATATATATATATATATATATATATATATATATATATATATATATATATATATATATATATATATATACACACACAGAGAGAGAGAGAGAGAGAAATGTGTAGTACAGTGCATGTACAATTAAAGTTTGTGTGTGTGTGTGTGTATTAAACCTAAACTCCCCCACCACCATACACACAGTATTGTCTAACAACAGTGTTCATGTGTGGACACACATGTGGGTGTCTATACATAGGAATATATGTATACAGTATGTACGTATCTAGACTGGCTGGGGCGCGTGTTGGGTAGCCCACTCACGTCAACGCGAGCGGGACACAATATGCGGCGGTTGTGACAGGCATGCAACAAGGCTTATTTCCATATGCAGATGAGACGGGCTGGTGGCGTTATGGGCACCAGGGGCGACCAGCTCCTCCGCCCGGGGGGGTCACCACAACTCCTACATTTTTTACTACATCTCCACAAACTCCACGTGGAGGAAAATGTTTGTATTATCGGAGACTTTTCTTGTGCGTGTGGCTGACCACCCGACTGAAATGATAAATAATAATAATAACGTTCAAATTTTTGTATTTATTCTTTTTGTTATTTCGCACGTGTAATGATGTTCTTAAAAAACCTTTAGTGCTATGAGGTAGTGAATCTGACTCAGCTAAAACTAAACATATTTACAGATAAGGTACGAACAAGCGTGTATACCCGGTGCATCTTTAGGCTAAATCTTAGAACCTCTCAGAGTATGTTGAGCATCAAGGAGCCAAGGATTCCTAAAACGCAACATAGGTGTACATAACCCACGACACATCCTCCTGAGTGACAACCTACACCAGTTACTATCACCTTGAATTCGTGAGCGCTCAAAATATTTTTTCTGGTTACTGCTGTATTTGTTAAGCAAGTTCCCAGGTAGTTTCACACAGCTGGTTCAACAACCTTGTAGTCAACACCGCACCTGTGCACCAACTATGTAAATTATTATGTACTTATTATACACGTTTATTCAGCAGCTGACCCTGTAGTATTCAGACATTACTTTTTCCTTCTTCCAGTGCCTTCTTTCTTACTCATACAACTACCTGGTGGTTGTTTTTGTCTTTGTTTAATCTCTTTACTGCGAGCATCATTCACCTCGTCCTATGTTGCCCTTTAACACACACTTTTCTTCTCTTGTTAAATTGTACCTTTGGATTTCCTCTGCTCTCTCTCTCTGTCCCTATTATCTCTCTTTCTCTTTCTATTCCTACCCTCTCCTGCTCTACCCTCTCCCTCTCTGTCTCCTCCTCCTCACCTCTCCTCCTCCCTGTGCTCCCTCTCAGCGTGACAGTGACAATGATTTATCGTCTCCTCAGCCTCCCTCGAGACTCCGCCTGGAATACGCCGCCCCTCCACAAACTGGGAGGCGGGAATTCAGGACTGGGAATTGGAATGGTACTTCAAATGGAATTGGGGCACATGGTGGCAAGCGGGAGGAATTCTTCTGGGGCTTTATAATCTCATGACTTGCAAGACCTTACTCACCAATGACAATCCAATGTCACAGGAAAGAAATATATTAAAAAGTCTCTTATAAGCGATAAAAGATAA